CGCGAGGATGCTGCCGCTGCTGCTGCTGCTGCTGCTGTCTTTCTTGCTTTTGCTGCAGCTGGTGAGCTGCGCACAGCTGCTGGGCCACGGAAGACAGCAGCAGCTGTTGTAGCAGCAGCTGCTGCAGCAGCTCCAACGCAGCTCCATCGGGGCAGCAGTGGAGAGCTGCAGCGAGGCCTGAGCGAATGCGAGACATACAACGGAACGCTGCTGCTGCTGCTGCCGCTGCTGCAGTTCTTGCCAGTAAAGATCCTGTTGCTGCTGCTCCTGCTGTTGCTGTTGCTGTCACTGTTCTTGCGGATCCTGCTGGCATAAGTAAAGCTGCGGGGCCGCCCAGCTGACAAAGTGCTGCAGCAAACGAGAGGGAGGGCCGAAAAGAGCAGCAGCAGCAGCAGCAGGAGCAGCAGCAGCAGCTGCAGCGGTGGCCGTGCTGGGCGCAGCAAGAGAGAGCCCGGCATACGCCCAGTAGCTGCACTCAGGTGGCTGCGGCTGGCGCCAGTGCTTGGGGGTCGCAGCCATCAAGAACGACAGTTTAGGCTGCTGCTGCTGCTGCTAGTGCTGCTGCTGCTGCAGCAAGCAGGTCACCCCCTAGCAGTTCCCCAGTGCAGACTCATCCCCACGCGTTCGAGTGTCTCTGTGTTCTAAATGCAGCAGCTATGATGCGGCTTCCATTTCTGGTTTGCTACAGCTGCAGCTGCAGTTGCTGCTGCTGCTGCTGCTACTGGCTTGTGCGCAGGCTTGCACCCCAGCGCGAGGCTGTGAAGGGCAGCAGCAGACGCGGCACTCCTCCGCAACACGATGCGGGGGAGGAAGACAGCCAGGCGCACGTCGAAGACAGCAGCAGCAGCAGCAGCAGCTGCTGCTGCTGCTGCTGCAGGGTCGCTGGGGTGTCGATGCGGGCTGCGTGGGAGGCCCTGAACTCGCAGGCGGAGGGCTATTAAGGCTATTGGCTGTCTGCTGCTGGGGCTTGCGTCTGCGCGTCTGGGTGGAATTAAAACGAAACTTCGAAGGGATATGGAGTTTATTAAATGAATTCAAACGCTGGGTGTGGCAACACATGCAGCGAAACCGATGGGGCCCCCTGGAGGCTGCTGCTGAGTGACCGCTGGGGCAGCAGGCGCTTTGAAGGCAGCAGCCGCGCAGGAGTTGCTGCGGCTAGCTGTTGGGTTTTTGGGGTTTAGAATTTCTTCAAATGGAGTCTTCGAACAGAATTTGAGATGAATTTAATTTTTTTGTGAGATCGAGCGCAAGGAAGCAGGGAAAACAGCCGCTGCTGCCGGCAAAATTGGAGCCTCCGCCGCTCATCGCACTGGTACGGGTCCGCCGCTTCTGCGCTGGCACCGCGTTTGGTCCTCGGCCTTTGTTTTTAAACCTTTTGAGTTAATAGAAAAAAAAGTGCTGGCCGTTTGTCCACAGCTCCGGGCCTGAGCTCGGGGAGGCTCGAGAGGAGGACCCCACATTGCACCTGGCTTCTCCCGCCTGCGGTGGAGTCCGGAGTTGGGGAAATTATATCCGCGCGGGGGTTTCTTTGGCTTCTCTCCGGGGCTTTATTCTCTTTTAAGGTCCAGTGAGACTCACTGGAGGGCGAGAGGCCTCGCGTCCTTCCCTCTTGTCTTTGCCCATGGCGCCCCGGCTTTCCGCCGCCCTCTTCGCGGCCTTCGGGCTGCTGCTGCTTCCCTTCGAAGACTGCAGCAGCAAAGGCCTCCTTCTGCTTCTCGCGGAGGCCGCGGGCATCAACGGTGGAGACCTCAGGGGAGGCGGAGGAGCCAAGGGGGGCTCCGGAGAAGCTGGAGGGAATGGCGGGGGCCCCGGACCGGGAGGCCCGGGATCGGGATCGGGATCGGGCAAGGACGGAGACGGCGAGTCCGGCGAGGAGGGGAAGAACGCTCAAAAGAATGGACCCAACAAGGTAACACTTTCTCCCCCTCTTCATTACTTCTGCAGCATCATCCTTTAGTGCAAACATCGATGCTCTACTTCGCTAATGAAAGCAGCCGCAAGCCTCTCTCTCTGCCTTGGCTGCTGCTTGCCAAGAAAGGCAAAGCAAGCCAGAGGGAGTAGCAAAGAAGAATCCGACGAAGTTTAAGAGGAGAAACAAGTAGCTACTTCATCACTGACAACTCTTTCGTTCCTCAAAACAGCTCATGAGGGTTTTGCAGATTCAGATTTGTGAACAAGTGTCTTTTTGTACGCAAATAAGCGCTAGAAAAGAGCACCATTTAAATGCCATTCATGAAATTCGTTCACGACTTGTGATCAAATGGTTTTGTTTCAAAAATGCTTCAGCAAGGAGGCCGAGGCAACAACGGCCGAGGCCCCCCTGGCCCTCCCGGTGGTCAGAAGAATCCTCCGCGAAGACAGCAAGACCAGTCTTTGGCGCAGGCCCTTCCTCTGCTTTGGAACGCAGCCGCCAACACCGCTGTGAGACCTTTTCGCGTCAAGACCCTTTCGCCTCAATTCCCGATCATGTATTCAACTTGCTGGACACCTTTGCCTGCGCATCTGTTCATGAAACATGAATTTCATGTTGAACAAGAACTATTCAGATGTGCTGCTGCTGATTATGTTTCATTTATTATTTAGTTGAATGCTGTTTGTCTTTTTCTTAGGCGGCATCGGATGAATCTTCGGATTTAGAGGATTACAACGCTGCGCTGGCGCGGATATTTGAAAAGCGAATGGCATTCCAGTAAGCGCATGCATGAATGCTGTTATTATTTCCGGTCTTTCCCATTCCTTTTTTCGCGAGCAGCTTTTCCACTTTGCTGAATTTCGCATTTCAGATCCACTTTGCATAACATGTATTTCATTGAAAGCGTTCCCCAGCTGGCCTGTTTTTGCACAGCCCGCGATTTCGAGGGGCGTTGGAAGACATAAACGAGGCGCTGTCGCGGGACCTGCTGGAGACGAACACGAAAATGCCAATGAGCGAACGGCAGAAGATCCTGTACGGGCTGGGGGGCCGCGGGACTTACCTGGAGGTGCCGCAGCTGCTGCACGAGCTGCGGGAAGAGGCGGACCACCCCGTGGAGGAGCGGCGGCGGATCCAGGGGCTGCACCGGCTGCGGCGGCGGGGCGTGCAGATAAACGTGGAGGAGCTGAAGAAGCGGCCGTTCGTGCGGAAGGAGTTCACGGGGCCGGTGACGACGGAAGACTACGAAGAAGACCTGACGGACGCAGATCTGCACCAGCGACAGAGCGCGCTGAACGGGTGGCTGCAGATGCAGAACCGCGCGCGGGTGCTGCAGAAGCAGCACATGAGGCACCGGCGAAACGTGGGGTCGAGCGAGCCGGTGAACGACGACGACTTCCAAGTGGAACTCGAAGACCTCGAGGGGCTGGGCTTCGGCGGCAGGCTCAGCGACGTCGAGGGCGGCGAGTACGGCGAGCAGTACCGCGAGTTCCTCGAGGAGGAGGGGAAGCCTTTGGACAACGAGGAGGAGGCGGCCTAGGCTTGCTTCGCGCCGCGCGCGTCGCTCCGCGTGCGGCCTCCGGCTCTTGCAGACTGCGCCCGCGCCGGAGTTGAATGCAGCGACGAGCCTCACCTGCTCCACTGCGAACCACAATGCAGAAACGCCCAAGTGGTCGAGTCGCTCCCGCCAAAATGAACAGAACTATTCTTGTGACATCCCCACCCAGCAGAGGATTGCCTGCGCAGGGCTCCCGGTGTACGGACACCTCGCGGCACACCGCGCCGGACGTACACCCCAATTCAACGCAACCCCTCTTTGTCTTGTGCCTGCCACTTTTCTAATTTTGTAATTTCGCGGTTGGCAACTCTGTTACGCCGCATTTTCAGATCCGCACAGAAATTAGCTTTAGTACCAGTTCAGAAACGTGTTGAGTAACAGAGCTTGCGCTCCTTTGTGACGGGTCACTCGTTCTTACTGCGAAATGCCTTCGAGGGGCTGCTGCTTCAGAGCTGCAGCCCCCCTGAGGTGTGAATTTTCGAGTTTTCACCTTAAAATATATTTCTTTTTTACTTTTGTGTATTAGAAAAGGCTCTTGTTGGCATTCGAGAATCTCACGTAGCCGCTCGCTGCGGGCTCTTCCGGGAAGGCACTGCCGAAGGCGCAGGCCGTTTGCTCAGGGTCACCTGGCTCCAGGGAATCCTCGTCAATATTCCTCATTGTTTTCAAAAAGAATCCAAATTCCTCAGAATTCAGGCATAAATGAATGCGATTATTCAATTATGTGTTTAATTAAACCATTGTGAACTGTGGTGTCTGCATATTGTATTGCACCGCGAGCCAGAGCAAGACGAGTATCGATCACGCGATGGCCGCTCCTTCGCATGCAAAGAAGTTTAAGTGGAATTCGCAGCGGAATTGAGGAAGAGAGTTTGTCGATGGCCTGAAGAGTCAAGCAGGAGGGCAAAATGGTACATCCAGTGGAGAGTGTGAATTTGCCAATCCCCATAATCGAGCCTGTGGTTGACGCAACGAACTCGAGTCAGCAGTAAGCAGTCAACACTTTTCCGATTCCGCCTGAGTGCTGCAGCTGAATTTGTTTGCACCTCCCTGGCCCTCACAGTGGCAACTGTAGAAACGCCCCGAGGTGTTGCCCTTTGGCTGCCGCGGCTCTTCGGGCCAGGAGCTGCTGCAGCTGCTGCAGCTGCAGCAGC